GTTGACTTGTCAAAAATTTTGTTAAAAAATCCCGAAAACTCGTGACGTTGGCAATTACTTTTTAGACGAGCTGTTTAGCAGCTTGTCCAGAGCAAAGGGCCTACAGCAAACTCGCCAGAACATTTCGAACTTTCTACACTAAGGTTCTGTTGCGGATTTGGATCATGATCCAGGAATTTATAATAGATTAGTGGGGAAGCTACTCCACTGCATGACAGCTTTTTGCACGTCTGCGCGTTTCAGAACACCACAAGGTCATTCGGGTTTATTCATTTATTCCCCACTTTGTTGTAACGGTTATGTAATATTTATGTAGAAAAAATATCGCACTATTCGTTCACAATATTTTGTATAAAAAGTGCCATATGCAACTTCACAGCTTAACAACATAACTCATCTACGACCTATGCACAGAAACACGCCTGATATGGAATGCAATCGTCCACTGAAGCATTAGAAAATTTAAACGAGAGAAGCGTAGTGTGGATAATTCTAGGAATTGCCGAAAATGATTTATACCAGTCTCTTTACGATCCAACCATTCGTTTCCATAGTTAACTGGTACTGGAATAAACCAAGAAATCAAATCTGTTGCATTCGAGTTGTTTCCTGAGTGCTTCTGTTTATTATAACGAATATGAGGGTTTTGACTTTAACTTGATTTTGTCAGGAGATATTTCCTGGAAATTTTTCATTATTATTCCCACCACTGGAAATGTTTCAGTGGTACTTCTATTCCTGGTAATGTTTTAACGAGTTGTTTTAGAAGAGAGCGACAAAAAATTACTTTCACTGATGAGAAAAAATAATTTCAGTTCAAGACTTTTTTATGACAACACTTACATGTGAATAACAAAATAACATGACGGAGCCGACTGATAAGAAGAAAACGATGTCACCTGGCTACTGGTTGAAATTGATCCTGAAAAGAGTGACAAGCAGATGTCTGTCCACCACGACCAGAGCATCGTTATCAGGAACCAGGGCAAATGACTGGTGCTCAACATTCTCATTCATAAGCTCTTTTAAGCCGTCGAGTTCGATGGCGCGTAGCTTATCAAAATTTCCGAGAACGACAAAATTAGTGCTATTGACACAAGCACTATAAACATCAGTGTCAAGAGCATGAATCGTGGTGCCATCCTTCGACACAATTTTCCCCTGAAAATGATCCGTTCATAATCAAATAATGTAAAATAGCAGCGAGAAAGTATGGACACTCGGACGACCCTCGAAGAGATGACGCACATACATTCAACAGCCATGGGTACTAACTGGAGATATACAGCTCAGGGAAGAATGGCTTGGCATAGCTGCGACCGACGTGCAGTAACATCCTGACATTTTAATCAATCATCGAAAATTTTGGTACTAGGCCGATTTTTGGTTTTGCTACATGTGCTATTACTGTTTTTATCAATATTTTTTTGTAAAAAATGAACTGCGAAACTACTGCCAGCATCTTAAACAGCGGAATCTCCTCCGTGCTAATTCCCTATGAAGTGAGGAGGTTTTAGGAAGTAGCCGAAGTGACTAAGCATGCCAGCAGAAATGCCAGACTCAGCCTCCATACCCCATTTGTCCAATCAAGCCGAAAACCTCCTCACTTCATACGGAATTAGCACCGGAGGAGACCCCGCTGTTTGAGGTGCTGGCAGTAGTTCCACAATTCACTTTTTACAAAAAAATATTGATAAAAACAATAACAACAATGCGAAAAACAAGCGCACTATCCAGACACCGCTAGAAGATCGTATTATCAACAGAATTTGAACCGAATAATCAAAAAACCAACAAAATATTGCCAAAAGAGAAGCCCATCGTTAGGCTTGACCAAAAAGTGACAAAATCGAAGCTTCACGCCGAAAAACAACGAAGTCGCGCCAACGAAAACATCTCCCTAAGCCTTACTCACTCTTACATAGCGATCGCAGGGCAGGATCCAAACAATAGGGACTACATCCCGTACAAAAGCTTTGACCTTTTAACCTTTCACAGAAGTTTCTAGAAAACCTGGCTGCTGTGCAACAACAATTTGTCGAAACGAAGATAGTGAGAGAAGAGCGCACATGAAATTCTAGCTTCTCAGCCTAAAATGTTAAACATGTGACACTTAAGATATAACGAAAAGAGCAGCAAACAGACCATTCCAGAGGACGTTATAACGATAACATAGTCGGAGCAGTATGCCAGCGTTTCGATGCAGTCGATTTCGTGATGGAAATGTGAAAGCGTCAAATCCGGAAGATTCACAACCCAAACAGCGCCAGCCTCGCCTCCAACATACAACCGGTCTTTGGCAACACAGAGCGATGTCAGTCCTGTAAAAAGAATTTTTAAGTCGTTTAATATTGTTTGCTGAATCAGCTAGTGCTAGAAGTGGGCACAGGGTGAGTCTTACAGACATGAGGATACAATGTCCTGGATTCTAGTCTCGTTGATCCTGCTGTTACTGTCTGGTCGTTGTGTTCATGGGTAGTCACTAATCCAAGAGATTACTAAGCAGCGC